ATGGCTTAAGTATATCTGAGGCAAGTTACAAATCCACTTAAATGCTTCATTATGAAAAATAAATCACATTTTATTTTTATAACCGGCAGAGGGTATATTATATTGTCGGCCTCGCCCTACTATAATTTCTTACTTGTTGTTGATTGCTGACGTTGTTGTTCTTGTTGCAATTTTTGAATAAGTTTTTAATATTGTTAAGCTTTAACTGTTAAAAATTAATTAACGAAATTGTGAAGGGGTTAACAACAAAAAAAAAATGAATAAATAAAAATATCCAACGATATAAAACAAAGTGTTCGAGTAGTCGAAGCGTATTTCACGCTGCACTTTATATATTTCAATTAATGAGTTTTAAAGGACAACGTAAAGCCACGCACACGTAGGCATATTGAAATACATACAGATATATAACACTTAAATGGAAAAGTAATATCCCAGCAGTATTACAAGAGGTCCTCGTATCCTTTTCAGACAATATGTTTACATACAGTGGGATACTTTAACTACCAGAAGGATCAATTTATTGCAACATAGAGTTGAATAAGTCATAACTAGTCACAGAGCTAATTCTGTGAATAAAATGTGATGTCGCTGGTTGGGTTCAGCCATCCCAAACTGCAGGGATCATAAAAAGTTTATAAAATTTAACATGTTGCAAAAAATACGCTGTTGTATTGTGTGGCATAATTGCAATAAACTTGAAGGAGTCGTCTTGATTATTTCATTTTTATCGTTGTTTTTATACTGCTGAAAACTTATTAAAATGAAAACGAGAAATCATTAATGATTGTAATAAAAATAATTAAATTATATAAATTTTTTTTGTATTAAATCATTGTATGATTTAAAATTAATTTTGGAAAAAACTGCAAGAAGCACTAATAAACTTCTCAATAAAAATATATGTACATATTAATTAATACCTATAATGAAATTGTTACTGGCTATTAAAACCGAATTTCTTATAATTACTTAAAACTACAAAGTAATTATACTCATACTCTTAACATTAACAAAACATTGCCTACTTTTAGGATTTTAATAAATAATCACAATTAATTCATTAAATTACTTACCTCCCTTTTATTTTATCATAAATCTACCATAAATCTTACAACCAAATAATAAACTATATCAAAAATATAAATACTTACGTATCAATGTTGCTGAACACAAAACAAGAGCAATTATAAAATCACGTGACGGTGTCAATACACCCGATGCCAATAATTCCAATTCACAATGCATACCCGTAAAGCCCATCGGACATTGACATTCATATTTTTTGGGCGGATGATAGTCACGACAACGACCACCATTGCGACAAGGAAATAGTAAACATTCATTGTCATTGACACATGTACTGCCAGAGATTTTGAAACCAGCAGGACATCTGTGTTTATGTATGATATTGATGTTGCATACAAAAAGATATACGATTGAAATTAACATTTATGTGAATGAAGTTGAATTTGATTTTTGCTATAAATCCTTGTTTTCTTTATGCTTTTTGGTTCGTTTATTTCGTTTTCATTAAATATATTTTTATAAAGCTTTGAAAGCTAAATGTGCAATAGATAATCCTTAATGGAGGAATTGCCATTAATAGTGCCCTGAATGTTATGTATATTTTTATAAATTTGCAAAAAAATATATTAAATCTTAAGATATAATGACTTTTGCTCTCCATCACCCTAAAGTCTGCTATAGTTTTGTATTTTTAAATAATCCTAAAAGCAATGAAGAAGTCCTTCAACATTTAACTGAGTAGTTTCTGAACACTTAGATTCACTGCAAGAAATCCACAATTCGAATTATAAAATAAAACCAATTGGAAAATATCTGTTACACACATTTTTACACACTTATATTTTTCTTTACCTACCTTAAACTATTTACCTGTTAAAACAAAAATTTTTATACAATTATTAAAAAATCTATACTAAAACATGGATGAAAATTAAAGAATATGTTAAACATATGTAGGAAGCCTAAAAAACCCGTTGAGTTCAGTTTCAGTTCAGTTCCAGTTCAGTTCTAGTTCAGTTCTAGTACAGTTCTAGTACAGTTCTAGTTCAGTTCTAGTATAGTTCTAGTTCAGTTCTAGTTCAGTTCTAGTTCAGTTCTAGTTCTAGTTCAGTTCTAGTTCAGTTCTAGTTCAGTTCTAGTTCAGTTCTAGTTCAGTTCTAGTCAGTTCTAGTTCAGTAGTTCAGTTCTAGTTCAGTTCTAGTTCAGTTCTAGTTCAGTTCTAGTTCAGTCTAGTTCAGTTCTAGTTCAGTTCTAGTTCAGTTCTAGTTCAAGTCTAGTTCAGTTCTAGTTCAGTTCTAGTTCAGTTCTAGTTCAGTTCTAGTTCAGTTTCTAGTTCAGTTCTAGTTCAGTTCTAGTCAGTTCTAGTTCAGTTCTAGTTCAGTTCTAGTTCAGTTCTAGTTCAGTTCTAGTTCAGTTCTAGTTCAGTTCTAGTTCAGTTCTAGTTCAGTTCTAGTTCAGTTCTAGTTCAGTTTCTAGTTCAGTTCTAGTTCAGTTTCTAGGTAGTCAGTTCTAGTTCAGTTCTAGTTCAGTTCTAGTTCAGTTCTAGTTCAGTTCTAGTTCAGTTCTAGTTCAAGTTCTAGTTCAGTTCTAGTTCAGTTCTAGTTCAGTTCTAGTTCAGTTCTAGTCAGTTCTAGTCAGTTCTAGTTCAGTTCTAGTTCAGTTCTAGTTCAGTTCTAGTTCAGTTCTAGTTCAGTTTCTAGTTCAGTTCTAGTTCAGTTCTAGTTCAGTTCAGTTCTAGTTCAGTTCTAGTTCAGTTCTAGTTCTGCTCTTGTTCTAGTTCTAGTCCTATTTCAGTTCTAGTTCAGTTCTAGTTCAGTTCTAGTTCAGTTCTAGTTCAGTTCTAGTTCAGTTCTAGTTCAGTTCTAGTTCAGTTCTAGTTCAGTTCTAGTTCAGTTCTAGTTCAGTTCTAGTTCAGTTCTAGTTCAGTTCTAGTTCAGTTCTAGTTCAGTTCTAGTTCTAGTTCAGTTCTAGTTCAGTTCTAGTTCAGTTCTAGTTCAGTTCTAGTTCAGTTCTAGTTCAGTTCTAGTTCAGTTCTAGTTCAGTTCTAGTTCAGTTCTAGTTCAGTTCTAGTTCAGTTCTAGTTCAGTTCTAGTTCAGTTCTAGTTCAGTTCTAGTTCAGTTCTAGTTCAGTTCTAGTTCAGTTCTAGTTCAGTTCTAGTTCAGTTCTAGTTCAGTTCTAGTTCAGTTCTAGTTCAGTTCTAGTTCAGTTCTAGTTCAGTTCTAGTTCAGTTCTAGTTCAGTTCTAGTTCAGTTCTAGTTCAGTTCTAGTTCAGTTCTAGTTCAGTTCTAGTTCAGTTCTAGTTCAGTTCTAGTTCAGTTCTAGTTCAGTTCTAGTTCAGTTCTAGTTCAGTTCTAGTTCAGTTCTAGTTGAGTTCTAGTTCAGTTCTAGTTCAGTTCTAGTTCAGTTCTAGTTCAGTTCCAGTTCAGTTCTAGTTCAGTTCTAGTTCAGTTCTAGTTCAGTTCTAGTTCAGTTCTAGTTCAGTTCTAGTTCAGTTCTAGTTCAGTTCTAGTTCAGTTCTAGTTCAGTTCTAGTTCAGTTCTAGTTCAGTTCTAGTTCAGTTCTAGTTCAGTTCTAGTTCAGTTCTAGTTCAGTTCTAGTTCAGTTTAGTTCAGTTCTAGTTCAGTTCTAGTTCAGTTCTAGTTCAGTTCTAGTTCAGTTCTAGTTCAGTTCTAGTTCAGTTCTAGTTCAGTTCTAGTTCAGTTCTAGTTCAGTTCTAGTTCAGTTCTTAGTTCTAGTTCAGTTCTAGTTCATTCTAGTTCAGCTTTCCAGTTCTAGTTCTAGTTCAGTTCTAGTTTCAGGTTCTAGTTCCTAGCTCATTGTAGATTAATTTCTAATTTAGATTTAAGAGTTTCAGTAATATATCATTTCTAGTTCTTATACAGCTTCCCCGTTTGCTAGTCTAGTGAACTCGGTCGACTCTTGTAATTATTTTTAATCTTTAGCTTTCATTCATTCACACTAATTCTATAAGAATATATAATATTGATGATTATTATGCTTAAATGCTAAGGAGAAAAGAATTGGTATGCGATAAGAATAAAATGAAACAAATCAGTTTATGGTCACTACAATGAATGAATGATGATGTCGAATCATGGTATTGTAAATGGAGAAACAAATAATTAAATTTAATTTTGAATTCGTTTTTTATGATGATAAATGATTTAAATTTCAACTAAATGTATAAATATTTGCTTTCTATAAAATGTGAAAATGACATGCAAAAAAATTTTGTTTTATTTAATAAAAGTTAAATAAATATACAATATATGTATATGGAGATATTTGTTAAAGGATGCTAAATATGGCGCTTAAATAAAAGTAGGACACGATTTTAATGCATGGATAAATGAATGATTGAATCAGATGATGAATGTTGTTGGTCTATTACACGAATTTGGTTTAATAATGAATCGAATGAATGGTTAAATGATTATGATGATAAATTTCAATTAGATTATTTTTTGATTTGTTTGTAAAAGAAGCTAATGGTGCAAATTATAAAGGGAACAAATTAAAATTGGTGTTTTTATTTAATTAAAGCTAATATTTGCACTAAACACCAATACTAACACACATATAAAATAAACGATATGAAAAACACATACACATGAATAAAAACTAAACACATTGAATTGGGAATTTGAAAAGATTCAAACAATGTATGAATAGAGTTATAGACAAAAAGAGAAGAGAAATTGTTTGGGTATAAAAAAATACAAAAATATCAGTTACAAAAACAAATTAGCATACTTAAAAGAATGGTTATTGGCTGCATTTTACTATTATTAAAATTTCCTTAAAGTATGCTATAGTTTTTTGCTTTCCTCCCCATTTCTGTATTTTTGTAATTAAGCAAACGTTCTCTTCACTTTCTGCTGCAGACATTAATATTTAGATGTACACATAAGAGCGCTAGTAGTTTTCTTTTCAGTTCATATGAATTATTTAAAATCTTCATTATGCTCACCTAATATGATCAGCAAGCAAACTAATATTGCCGCTAAAGCGCCCATGCTCAATTTTAACGTTTGTCCTTCTTGCACCAATTCACAATTTTCACCCCAGAAACCATCGGGACATATACAACGATAACGCAGTCTTGGCTCTAGATTTATACATGTTGCCCCATTTAAACAAGGCAAATCCAAACATTCATTACGATCCATACAACCTTTAGCATCCGGTGACATAACACGTCCTTCGCCGCAACTATTTTAACGATGTGATGACATTGTTTTAATAAAGTAATTTACAGTACATACGATTTATTTAGTTAAGAGAGAAAAAAAATAGAACGACACATTTTCAAAAATGATTAAAGAAAATTTTAGTGAAATTTGTCGATATTGAGTAGGTTTAAACGACAAATAATACAAAAACAACTCATGAAACACATTTAATGGCTAAATTAGAATCACAACTTTTTAAAAATTTGGTCTGTACAAAATAATTAGTAAAAATTAATGATCATTGATTTTGCTTTTAATTATAATATAAAATGATTTGCTTAAATGAAAATGAAGCTTAACTTAAATGTCCTCAAATAAGAATATGATACTTTAAGTTTAGTTGAGATTTTGCTCAGTCCTAGTTAAGTTCTAGTTAAGTTCTAGTTGAGTTCTAGTTGAGTTCTAGTTCAGTTCTAGTTCAGTTCTAGTTCAGTTCTAGTTCAGTTCTAGTTCTAGTTCAGTTCTAGTTCAGTTCTAGTTCAGTTCTAGTTCAGTTCTAGTTCAGTTCTAGTTCAGTTCTAGTTCAGTTCTAGTTCAGTTCTAGTTCAGTTCTAGTTCAGTTCTAGTTCAGTTCTAGTTCAGTTCTAGTTCAGTTCTAGTTCAGTTCTAGTTCAGTTCTAGTTCAGTTCTAGTTCAGTTCTAGTTCAGTTCTAGTTCAGTTCTAGTTCAGTTCTAGTTCAGTTCTAGTTCAGTTCTAGTTCAGTTCTAGTTCAGTTCTAGTTCAGTTCTAGTTCAGTTCTAGTTCAGTTCTAGTTCAGTTCTAGTACAGTTCTAGTTCAGTTCTAGTTCAGTTCTAGTTCAGTTCTAGTTCAGTTCTAGTTCAGTTCTAGTTCAGTTCTGTTCTAGTTCAGTTCTAGTTCAGTTCTAGTTCAGTTCTAGTTCAGTTCTAGTTCAGTTCTGGTTCAGTTCTAGTTCAGTTCTAGTTCAGTTCTAGTCCAGTTCTAATTAATTTCCAGTTTATCTTGTATCCTTAAATATTTCCATTTTCGTTAAGCCGGCTTGTAATGGTGCTTTAAATTAAATGATAAACTGAAATATTTTTTAAGATAACATAAAGCTGTGCATTAAATCAATGGGTATTTTTTTACTGAAAACTCAATATTTTTTATTTTGTATATACAGGTGGTGAAAATGTATATTCTAAAATTGCTGGTGTAGTTGGTTTTCTCACCAAGTTTCGAATGGTTTTGTATGTAAGAGATATGATTGTTAATGGGAGATATGATTGTTAATGGGAAAAATGTATTTTTATGAAATGTATTGTTGAAGATGATACCAAGAAATTTAATTTTCAAAAATAATTAAAATTGTGATGAATATGAAAGTAAGTGGTGATGATAATGAATTTGAAATAATGACGTTCTCTTTAGAAAATGATTAGCATGAAGTGTTATAATGAAAGGTGTATTGTGTTTCTTTTTATAATATTTTCCCTAATTTACATTTTTATATATTTTTTTTTTTACAGGTACGTTATCTTTTGTTCACAGAAAACCAGTTTTCCAACAAACAGGTAAAAAACTTAAGTGTGGGTCAGTTAAGATTAAATAACTGAAGTTTAATAAATAATGTTTTGTTATACATAGCTTAGATTTAGAGTAAAAAATGTGCTACTATATTCAGATTTACTGTAAAAATTAGAGGTTTATTATATTAATTTTATTGAGCATAATCTGCTAACAAATGTTTGATTTGAAAAGATATGAAAGTTTCTTTATTTGAGACTCTAATGACTTTTAAAATTAAAACTCAAGACTCTTGGTTATTTTTTTAAGTTTTTAGAATTCTTTTAAACATTTGTATAATATGTAATACCAGCTAAGTAAAACGTAAACCTTGGGTTTCCTTTATAAATTTCCAACTAATTAAAAATATTGTTTTTAAATATCCAAGAATTATTTTTTAAAACCGAATACAATTTAATAATATCTAAAATTCATACAAATTTTCTAAAAAATATATTTTTTAATGATCATTTCTGATAATCTCTAATGCATTGATTATCTAAAAGTGCAGCTAAGACAACGATATATAATTACATACATACTCCTAAATCCTAGAATTTCATTTCAAATAACAAAATATTCTTTCATTTGTAGGATGACTGTCAGTGTTAAACAGTGTGTTGTAATTAATTAAAATTTTCACAACAAACAAACTTTACATTTGTATTGTATATCCATGTATCTATAGGTTTGAGTTTTCATCAACTTAAAATTCAAGGTTTTAAAACAGTTTGGAATAACAAATTATCTTCAATATATATATATATATTTTTTTTTTTTTGCAAATTTATAAAAATCAATTATTTTAATGAAATTAAATGTTGAACAACTGAAAAAGATGATGCAATTTCGATTTAAATTTCTTTAGCTAAAAGCTATGAAAACGTATAATATAGTTTCAAATGAAAAACGAAAAAATGACATAAAGAAGACAAAACTACATTAACAAAAACCAAAAAAATAGTAAACATAAAAATACATAGGTATGTATGTAAATGTTTCTTTGTAAGAAGAGAAAAACTTACGTGCACTCATATTCATTCCATAAATCAACACATTCAAATGGATCTGGACAAATGACATTTGAACATGGTTTATTCGATGGACAGTTCTTTTCCAAATTACGCGCCATTGTGGCCTGACCCCATTGTGTACCATTCATGGCAGGTGGCAAAGGTAAATGTTTACCCTCAAGTCTATATGTGAGAAGAAAAGTATGAAGTAAAAATGTTAAAACCTTGATACAAGTGAAAATTCTGTGTAAAAACATTGTCAGATTAATTCAGCTTTTTTGGTGGCTGTTAATGCGACAGATGTATAAAATATACAGTGAGTGATATAACTATAATATTTTAGGAGGTTTTCCGTTCTAGTTCAGTTCTAGTTCAGTTCTAGTTCTAGTTCAGTTCTAGTTCAGTTCTAGTTCAGTTCTAGTTCTAGTTCAGTTCTAGTTCAGTTCTAGTTCAGTTCTAGTTCAGTTCTAGTTCAGTTCTAGTTCAGTTCTAGTTCAGTTCTAGTTCAGTTCTAGTTCAGTTCTAGTTCAGTTCTAGTTCAGTTCTACTTCAGTTCTAGTTCAGTTCTAGTTCAGTTCTAGTTCAGTTCTAGTTCAGTTCTAGTTCAGTTCTAGTTCAGTTCTAGTTCAGTTCTAGTTCAGTTCTAGTTCAGTTCTAGTTCAGTTCTAGTTCAGTTCTAGTTCAGTTCTAGTTCAGTTCTAGTTCAGTTCAAGTTCAGTTCTACTTCAGTTCTAGTTCAGTTCTAGTTCTAGTTCAGTTCTAGTTCAGTTCTAGTTCAGTTCTAGTTCAGTTCTAGTTCAGTTCCAGTTCAGTTCTAGTTCAGTTCTAGTTCAGTTCTAGTTCAGTTCTAGTTCAGTTCTAGTTCAGTTCTAGTTCAGTTCAAGTTCAGTTCTAGTTCAGTTCTAGTTCAGTTCTAGTTCAGTTCTAGTTCAGTTCTAGTTCAGTTCTAGTTCAGTTCTAGTTCAGTTCAAGTTCAGTTCAAGTTCAGTTCAAGTTCAGTTCTAGTTCAGTTCTAGTTAAGTTCTAGTTCAGTTCTAGTTCAGTTCTAGTTCAGTTCTAGTTCAGTTCTAGTTCAGTTCTAGTTCAGTTCTAGTTCAGTTCTAGTTCAGTTCTAGTTCAGTTCTAGTTCAGTTCTAGTTCAGTTCTAGTTCAGTTCTAGTTCAGTTCTAGTTCAGTTCTAGTTCAGTTCTAGTTCAGTTCTAGTTCAGTTCTAGTTCAGTTCTAGTTCAGTTCTAGTTCAGTTCTAGTTCAGTTCTAGTTCAGTTCTAGTTCAGTTCTAGTTCAGTTCTAGTTCAGTTCTAGTTCAGTTCTAGTTCAGTTCTAGTTCAGTTCTAGTTCAGTTCTAGTTCAGTTCTAGTTCAGTTCTAGTTCAGTTCTAGTTCAGTTCTAGTTCAGTTCTAGTTCAGTTCTAGTTCAGTTCTAGTTCAGTTCTAGTTCAGTTCTAGTTCAGTTCTAGTTCAGTTCTAGTTCAGTTCTAGTTCAGTTCTAGTTCAGTTCTAGTTCAGTTCTAGTTCAGTTCTAGTTCAGTTCTAGTTCAGTTCTAGTTCAGTTCTAGTTCAGTTCTAGTTCAGTTCTAGTTCAGTTCTAGTTCAGTTCTAGTTCAGTTCTAGTTCAGTTCTAGTTCAGTTCTAGTTCAGTTCTAGTTCAGTTCTAGTTCAGTTCTAGTTCAGTTCTAGTTCAGTTCTAGTTCAGTTCTAGTTCAGTTCTAGTTCAGTTCTAGTTCAGTTCTAGTTCAGTTCTAGTTCAGTTCTAGTTCAGTTCTAGTTCAGTTCTAGTTCAGTTCTAGTTCAGTTCTAGTTCAGTTCTAGTTCAGTTCTAGTTCAGTTCTAGTTCAGTTCTAGTTCAGTTCTAGTTCAGTTCTAGTTCAGTTCTAGTTCAGTTCTAGTTCAGTTCTAGTTCAGTTCTAGTTCAGTTCTAGTTCAGTTCTAGTTCAGTTCTAGTTCAGTTCTAGTTCAGTTTAGTTCAGTTCTAGTTCAGTTCTAGTTCAGTTCTAGTTCAGTTCTAGTTCAATTTAGTCAGTTAGTTCAGTCTAGCTCAGTTCTAGTTCAGTTTATGTATGTTGTAAGTGGCTTTTTTCCATCACCCACTGTAATCACTTACGAAAAAGAATGCTTCAAACCAATAAACCACTTACCGTATATCATCCAAACAACTCTTCTGATAGTCAGCATAAACCTCAAATGTACGAACACCCGTGTACTCAGCTTTACCACCAGCATACACGCCCTCCTGTTTATCCACCAACAGCCACTGATGGCCCACAAATTCAAACGTTTCATTATAACGACGGCCCTCACCACCATCCAACTCTAATGTTGCCGCCGAGCCATAACGATTTATACGCACCACATGCCATTGGCCATCATCAACAGCCACTGCATTAAGCCATAAATCCTTCTCTTCAGTACGCAATGAATTCAAATTGTAGCGGAAATGTAAACGAGCATCTTTAATCTCTAATATCCCATATTCACGATTATGCTGATCACTAACACGGAATAGTTCACCGTGTTGTTCGCGTGTACGGAAACGTAATTGGATTTGAGTGCTAAAACGGTCGGGTTCAAAGCTTAGGGCGTACTTAACGTAACTCTGTTGCTTGAAGGTGGTAGGTATGGTGGGTATATTACAAGCAGGACCAGTCCAGCCGGGACGACACTGACATCTGGCTTCGGAGAGGGAACCAACGCAGTTACCATGCTCCCAACATCTGGCAGTTTGTTCGGATTGTGCGCACACTTCTTCAGTTTGAGGGCAACCAGCAACACTGTTGCGCGAGAGACCGGGATGAGCTAAATCGTACAGCTTAGAATTATGCACTAGATTGCGTATACAACCATCAAAACCTTTAGCCATAGGAGTATAATGCCAGAAGTATAAGGAAGGATCAAATTGTTCACGATACAAACCGCCCACTTGTAGTGGAGCATTGACATTGAGATACTCATTGAATGGTGGTATATTTCCTCTAGCCTGACATGACATATCATCGAATTCAGGTAAAGAACCATCTTCCATTTCACTAATTTCGGCCGATTTACAGAAGTCCACTACCATGCGCACATTTTCACTATCCCAGAACAAATCAATACGATGCCATTCACCATCATCTAAAGTCTTTTTCGTTTTAACTCTCAACTCCAGGGTACCAGAACCGAAATCTATTAACAGTCTAGGATAGCCTCGCTCCAATTCCAGGGATATAAAATCTGATATTAACATTTCATCACGTTCGGGTGGCACAATGGGACCATTGTAAATAATCAAACCATCTGGTTTACGTGTTATAAATTCCAAACTCAAATGAGAATCATCACACATTTCCAGGGGAGGATACCAAGCCCAACCATTACCACGGAAACTGCGGGTAGTTTGTTGACATCTTGGTCCGGTGTAGCCTACCGGACAGGAACAATGAGGACCAAATCTAGTATCCACACAGCGACCACCATTATAACAAGGAGTATTGCGGCAGTTTTCAGGTTTAGAGAAGTTCCTGGCACCACAAGTACACTCCGCCAAAGTGTCTACCCTAACACCCACTAAAGCAGTTTTATTGGCATTTACCATATAAGGAAGGGAACTTATATCCAAAGTATTGGTACAGGAACCCTCACACATTTGATTTTCATATAAACACTCATCTATGCCCACCATGGTGATGTTAATACCCACATCCTTTTCTATTTCCTCGCGATTCATTAACACAATACCATTTAGTCGGACAGGTTTATAATAAGGAGAACCATGGGCTGAAAATCTGACATCAGTTAGAGGAGGATGTTTCTTTTTAAGCTGAACACTAAAGATATCAACATTTTCACGATCGGTATTCAAAAGATCTGCCAATTTATCACGGAATCTATCCATTTTCGATCTACTCAACGATTGTGTTCTATAGTTCCATACACGTATAAAATCTTCATCGGTTATGCCGGAAAGTCTCACGGAACCGGAATTAATAACAGCTTCATGGGGTATTTCTCTAACGGTTACAGTAACATTGGCGGGTACATCAGTTTGGGTATGTTTGCGATCATAAACCTTAAATCTCAAATGATAACGTCCCTCCCGGGTACCAGCTCTCATGGTAATCATACCCGAATCCTCATCCAATTTAAAGCGAGGATGTTCTTGTGACTCCCAATAGAATTTCTTATCAGGCAAATCCCAATCATCCAAATCATAAACATAAACACGACCAATTTGAGTATCCGGTGACTGACCTTGATAATTGTAAGCGAAAATATCCTTGGAACCGGGTTGCATTTTGTTGTCATTAACATCTCCAATAATAACGGTCAGGGTACTGGTGCCAGTCATAGCTGGAGAACCATGATCCTTAATGACAATAGGAATCATATACTCTTTTTGTTGTTCTCTATCGAAAGATCTTAAGGAGGAAATTACAGCCATACCATCACCATTAGCACCCTCTGTAAAAGAGTAATACCACAAGAAAGAGAATAATTTAATTTATATGTTCCAAAAACAACATTTCTATTATTATATTTAAGTCCTTGTAATGTTCTTAATCCTTTTATATTTTTTCATAATGATTGAAACAATAGATGCAAACATTTTAACTAAAATCACTACAGTGCTAACCTTAATTCAAACCTCACTTTGTCCTTGCTTGCCAGAGCATGTTGACCGACCAAACGACAGATAGCAAGACTGTCTATATAACTTTTTGTTTGTAATTATTTTATTTAAAAAATTTCTATTTCTGTTTCATTTTTTGTGTGTATTTAATCCAACAAGTGTTAAGTCTGAAATCATTTGACACATCATTGTACTGTTTTAATATCCACAAAAAATCTTTAATTTCTTTTTTCTAGTTTCATCTGCAAGATGCTTGAGCAGGGCGGTGTCTAAAGTGTTTGTATTAAAATTTAATGGGTTTTTAAGCTCTAAATAAATAGCATGTTGTAGTTTGTTTTTTCTACACTATGTATTCCCTTCTGAGTTTGTTGTTTGTTAAAATTTATTGTTGTGTTTTAAATGAAATGGATTTAAATTTATGGTAATATTGTCGAGCATTGGGTGGAGAAAAACCATTAGGATTTTGATATAGTTTTGAGAAAATATGTAGTAATGATACTAAATTACATTGTTTACTTTAGGTAAAATACTTAAGCATTGTTACATTTTTATGCTTTGAAGAATTTTATAAAAATTTCTAATCTTTTAAGTTTTTGTTTAATTCTTAATTAAGATAAATTTCCACTTTTTATTTGGTGTAAATAATGTAATTTAAATAAAGATTTTCTTTAAACGATTGTGTCAAAAATGCACTTTTTATTCAATTACTTAGTAAATTATGTCAACAATATAATTTATTAGACATTTCACAAGTTAATTACTTAAATTACCATTTTAAATTTTTTTTGGATTTTTACCATTTTTTACATATAAATGTATGTAAATAATACAAACTATTATTATTTTCTGGCAATAAGTAATGTAAACAACGAGTTATATTAAACATTTCACAAGTTAATTACTTAAAACGCGAATTTCTTTAAATTTTTTACTTTATGGTGTCAGCATTTTATGTAATGGTATATAGTGTAAATATTAAAATTTTTGGTCAAATACGAATTCCTACTTTAAGTTTTTTAAGTACTTTAATTTATAATTTTTACACATTCTTTACACGATATAAAAAATTTGTAAATAATGTAAACAATTGAATGCGTCATGTCAATTAATAAATCTGTTTAAACTTTGAAGTATTTTTTGAAAATTTTACACGTTTTTGCGAATATTTACATATATTACCTTTTATACATTATGATGTAAATTTTACATATAAAAGTAAATATGTTAAATTTTGCTCAAATATGTAAGTTTTACTTAAATTCTGTTAAATTTTGAATTTTTATCCATTCTTTACGCGATGTTAAAATATGTGCAAATAACGTAAAAATTTAATACGTCATGTAAATTAATAATTTTTAAAATTTTACACGTTTTTGTGAATATTTACATATTTTATCTTGCTTACATTATGATATAAATTTTACATATAAATGTTAATGTGTTAAATTTTGGATATTTATCCATTCTTTACACGATGTAAAAAACGTGTAAATAATGTAAACAATTTAATACTTCATGTAAGTTAATAAATCAATATAAAATTTAATAATTTTTAAGATTTTTCAAGTGCTTGTGAATATTTACATATTTTACCTTGTTTACATTATGATGTAAATTTTACATTTAAAAGCAAATATGTTAAATTTTGCTCAAATATGTAAGTTATATTTAATTTTTTTAAATTTCGTATATTTATCCATACTTTAAACGATGTAAAAAAATGTGTCAATAATGTAAACAATTGAATGTGTCATGCAAATTAATAAATATGTGTAAACTTTAAAATATTTTCAAAATTTTACACGTTTTTGTGAATATTTATATATATTTTAGCTTGTTTACATTATGATGTAAATTTTACATATAAAAGTAGATATGTTAAATATTTGCTCAAATATGTAAGTTTAACTTAAATTTTGTTAAATTTCGAATATTTATCCATTCTTTACGCATTGTAAAAATATGTGTAAGTAATGTAAAATTTAATACGTCATGTAAATTAATAAATCTATGTAAAATTTTAATAATTTACAAAATTTTACACGTTTTTGTGAATATTTACATATTTTACCTTGTTTACATTATGATGTAAATATTACATTTAAGAGTAAATATGTTCAATTTTACTCAAATATGTAAGTTTTACTTTATTTTTATTAATTTCGAATATTTGTCAATTTTTTACACAATGTAAAAAAATGTGTCAATAATGTAAACAATTTTAAACATCATGTAAATTAATAAATATGTGTAAAATTTAAATAATTTTTAAATTTTACACGTTTTTGTGAATATTTACATATTTTACCTTGTGTAAATTTCACTCTTGTGACAATTTAAGATACATATATTTAAGCATTTATATATCCTATCTTTACACGATGTAAAAAACATGTAATTATGAAGACAATTTAATATGTCAAGTAAATTAATAAAATTATTTAAGCATTTATAAAATATTAATTACACTCGTAGGGAGGGTATATTGGGTTTGTTCTGATGATTGTAACGCACAATAACATTAGTCCTATACCCGCCTTAAAGTATGTCATTCGGCTTAGAATCATTTTCTGTGTCGATTTAGCTGTGTCCATCCGTCTGTCTGTCTGTCTGTCTATCCGTACGTCTGACCGTCCGTCCGTCCGTCCGTCTATGTAAACCTTGTAAAACCAAAGACGGTATATTGGGTTTGTGCTGATGTTTGTAACGCACAATAATATTGGTCCTATACCCGCCTTAAAGTATGCCATTCGGCTTAGAATTATTTTCTGTGTCGACTTAGCTGTGTCCGTCCATCTGTCTGTCTATCCGTACGTCTAACCGTCCGTCCGTCTATGTAAACCTTGTAATCAAACTACAGATCGCAATTTTAAAGATAAATCAATGAAATTTGGTACATGATCTTCTATTGTATCAGAGACGAAGCCTATTGAAAATGGAACCCCCGAATAGGGCTTGTAAACCTTGTAACAACCTACAGGTCGCAATTTTGAAGATAATTAAATGAAATTTTGAAAATGATCTTTACATAAGTTAAAATATGTAAACAATTAAAATTTTAATGTAATGAAACAGAATTTTGTCTAAATTTATTTCTAGATATTTAGAATATAAACTCTTTTAATCAAATTTTACACAATGTAAATTTTACACAAGTAAAATTTATACATTTCGTCCCTAAACTTCCTTAATATCTTCCTTTATAATAACCAAAAGTTTCACTTGTATTGAAGTTTATATTTCTTCCATATTTCCTTAATCTTTGTGGCATACTAAACATTATTTTCTATGATAATTACTTGAATTTGGTTTTACACTTCTAACCAATTATACCACCATTTAACACCCCTTTCAGAAAAAAAGAAATTATCTATTTTTCAATATTTTATACGAAAAGAACAGTAGTTACGCAGTAGACTACAGGGACTTACAATGACCAAGTAATAACAATAGTTTTTGAAAATTTGTAATGCAATTCGCAATAATAAAAGAAAATAACTGTATTACTGGGAAAGAAGTTCAAACCAAAGAATTTGTTTTAGTTTGTTTTACAGCAAAAGTCAAAAAATGTTACACACATTTAAAAAAAAATTACAAATTCTTAAAAATTACAATCTAGTCTTAAATAAAGTAATAATTAAATTGGAAAATTCTGTATGTTTTAGAAAACTATTCAACATTAACATTGTATTTGTAGAATATAGACTAATGTAAGATACCAACTGTAACCGACCTTGTTTCTATATACAATGTCTGCATTTCTTTTTCACACTTTCCTACTGTTCGCCTGTCCATCTCTATACATTTCAATGCATAACACAGCAGCTGTCCTTTCTATTTGGCATTGACTATTGAAATTTGATAATTGGATTTTAATATCAAAGTTCATTTGCTAACCAAACTGAAAAAAACTATATATATAAAACTAACTACACATACTATTCTGCTGCAAAATATTCATAGTTGATGGTGGGATTTTACTTTATTTCATTACATTTTTATCTACGTACTAAGTATTTGCTTCTTTTTGTTGTTAGTTTCAACTAGTTTGAGGTTATTGTATAGATTTTAACTTTTTTGCTTTAGAGAATATCAATTAGATATTGTCATTTGTAAAATAAGTATATATATTGTATTTTATTTTAGAGTTTAATTTTTTTCTGTTTGTTTTCTATTCTTTTGTTTGTATATAATAGTATGTTGATTGTAAATTTCATTTTTTGAATATTGTTATAGTAATGGACAATGGTCAGTAGTTAGTTTATTTGATTTGGTTTGGTTATTGGTAACAAGAAAAAAAGAAATTGTCATAAGAATAAATAAATGTATTTTGTGTGAAACTCTTATCTATTTGTTAAAGTAAGAAATTTTTTAATTTAATTAATTTTAATTGACTTGCTTAAGAATAATAGAGAACTACTAGGCAGCTATTTAAATTTGTTTTCAAATTAAATTTCATATGTATACGCCTATACATATGCTCAAAAATTTAATTCTATAAAACCCTAAAAGTATGCAATACTAATTTTAACAACGTATCAAGTTTTTAATGAAAATCATATTCAGTTAAATGTTCAAAACGGAGTCTCTTAGACTCTACTTGACTGTTTGCGTGCAGTGAACTACCACGTTAACCAACCATTCAGTTAAATAATCCCAAAATTATGCTTTAAATAGCAGCAGATTATACTAATCAATAAAATCCTAAAAGTATGTTGAGATTACAATAAAAACACTGATATTTAATTAAATATCAGTGTTTTTTCACTTAAAGTCTTATTTCAGTACATATGCCTAAAATTATGCTTTTAATTTTCTTTAATACGAAAAAGAGACTGCACTAAAATCTAAAATTTTGCAATGATTTTACTGAAAATCTTGATTTGTAACTCAATTTAACTAAAACTAGATTTTAAAACTCCAATTTTCTATGAAAGCCTAAAAATATGCTGTATTTTCAGTTTAACTTCGACTAATATAAAAGAAAATTCTATGTTAGAAAACTGTAAACAGTTTTATAAATATTCTATTCCAATTTATTTAAAAGTTTATTTTTAAAAGCCTTAAAATATGCTTCATAAACTTAATTACAAAAACTCCTAAAACTAGACAACAGTAAAAGTAAAAAACAGTAAAAAAAAGTATGTACTCACTTTGATCTTGTTCAACCTTAAACGAAGCTCGAATAATATCATCAGCACTAGGATCCAAACGGAACTGGAATGGTGGGCCATTGCTCTTCGAGCGATCATCATCATCAGTGGCCAATATTTCCACAACCTTGCGTGGCGGCACATGTTCCGGCAAAACCGGACGATAGTCTTTCAAAAACTTGGGAGCATTATCATTAATATCCTGCACTATAACCGTTAAAGTGGCGGTAGCAGTTTTGGGTGGACTACCATCATCGATGGCTAAAATTTTCACTTGATGTCTGGGCACTACTTCACGATCCAAAGAACGTTGTATTGTAACCGAACCATTTTGATTGATAGCAAATTGTCGTTGTCTGTCCGAAGATCTGTCAATAGAATAGGAAACCTTGCTACGTCCTCCCTGATCGGGATCAGTGGCTTTGAATTTCTCCAGTTCAGTTCCCACTTTGGTGTCTTCAAATACTGAAACTTCAACATTGGCTCTTTCGAAGTGAGGTTTATTGTCATTGATATCTCTTAGTTTCACCACCACCCATGAATAGGCTACATGATATTTGTCATTATCATTATCTTCTCCCTTATCATTGACTTGTATTCTAAAGCGGAAACCATTCGATTGCAGTTGATCCTCATAATCTAAAGGTTGTACTATTTTCAGCGAACCCGTGCCATCATTATTTCTCACCATGGTAAATTTATCAGCACCATAACCACTGTTATCGATAACTTTATATTGAAATTTATTCGTTTCATCTTCATCGTGTACGGTCACCGTTAATATCGGCATTTCCGGCAGTGTTTGTACCATCCGTTTCGTCCACTTCTGTAAACCATTCGTCTTTCGTAAATTGCGGCGGCATATCGTTTATATCTTTAACACGTATCGAAGCCGTCCCCGTCCCCTTAAGACCCCCTCCATCCATCGCCACCACTTGTATTGAATAGTCTGGTGTACGTTCACGATCCAAACAACATACTGCAGTCTTTATAACACCCGTATCCGGTTCAATTTCAAATATCGGTGATCCTGTTTCTTCTTCTATGACATTTTTCTCTATAGAATACACTAGCTTGGCATTGGACCCTTCATTGGGATCATCATAGTCTACGGCGGTCATAGTCATTACCACCATGCCAGCGGTACCATTTTCAGTTACATTTCCAAAGTATACACCTTGTGGGAATATGGGAGCATTATCGTTAATATCTTTGAGATTTACTTGTACATCGGCGTAACCCACTAGACCTTCACCGCCTTCATCTTGAGCGAATACTGTAAATCGCCATTGGGGTCTTCCGTTGGGTTGATCACGATCGAGGGGCTGAAATAGAAGGAAGAAATGGAAAGTTAGTTATTGTTATTTTCAATATTTTCTAGGCCTTTATGTGAATAGATCTCGAGAAATTTTATATATAATTTTTTCAAGTATTTTATATTTTTGTCTCCCAAATTATTTTTATACCCACCATCAAAAAAGATGGGGGGTATATTGTTTTTGTCATTCCGTTTGTAACACATTGAAATATTCGTCTAAGACCCATAAAAGTATATATATTCTGGGTCCTTATTAGATTCTAAGACGATCTAGCCATGTCCGTCCGTCTGTCCGTCTGTCCGTCTGTCTGTCTGTCTGTTGAAAACACGATAGAGTCCAAACGGAAGTAGCTAGCGAGCTGCACAGATACTTATAGTTGATGCAGTTTGTTTGGTATTGAAAATGGGCAATATCGGTCCACGATTTCGCCTAGCCCCCATATAAGGCCCCCTTCAGAAAATGACTTTATCGCTCATAACTTGCTAAGGGAAGCATCAATAGCGGTGAAATTCGGCACAAACATGTTTTACGGGAACATAAATCTCTTTGTAAAATTTTATAAGGATAGGCCCATAATTGACCCTACCCCCCATATAAAGTCCCCTTCAGAAAATGACTTTATGGCCCATAACTGGCTAAGAGAAGAAGCAATAGCGGGGAAATTCGGTACAAACATGTTTTATGGGAACATAAATCTCTTTGTAAAATTTTATAATGATAGGCCCATAATTGACCCTACCCCCCATATAAAGTCCCCTGCAGAAAATGACTTTATCGCCCATAACTGGCTAAGAAAAGCATCAATAGCGGTGAAATTCGGTACAAACATGTTTTAATGAAACATAAATCTCTTCGTAGAATTTTATAAAGATCGGTCCATAATTGACCCTACCCCCCATATAAAGTCCCCTTCAGAAAATGACTTTATCGCCCATAACTGGATAAGAGAAGCGTTAATAGCAGTGAAATTCGGCACAAACATGTTTATAGGAACATAAATCTCTGTGTAAAATTTTATAAGGATAGGCCCATAATTGACCCTACCCCCCATATAAAGTCTCCTGCAGAAAATGACTTTATCGCCCATAACTGGCTAAGAAAAGCATCAATTGCGGTGAAATTTGTCACAAACATGTTTAATGAGAACTTAAATCTCTTTGTAAAATTTTACAAGAATCGGTCCATAATTGACCTTAACCCCCATATAAAGTCCCCTTTAGAAAATTACTTTATCGGCCATAACTGGCTAAGAGAAGCATCAATTGCGGTGAAATTTGGCACAAACATATTCTATGAGAACCTAAATCTATTTGTAAAATTTTATAAGGATAGGTCCATAAGTGACCCTACCGCCCATATAAAGTCCCCGTCAGAAAATGACTTTATCGCACATAACTGGCTAAGGGAAGCATCAATAGAGGCGAAATTCGGCACAAACGTGTTTTATAAGAATTTAAATCTCTTCGTAAAATTTTATAAGGATCGGTTCATAATTAACCCTACCCCCCATATAAGGTCCCCTTCAGAAAATGACTTTAAGGCTTATTACTGACTCAAAAATGTGAGTAAATCGATGAATTTCGACATAAACAATTTTCGTATTAGCTAAAATCTCCCACTAAATTTTATGAGGATCGGTCTGTAATTGAGCCTAACCCCCTATAAAGTCCCCTTCAGATAATGACTTTAACGCTCATTACTGACTCAAAAATGCGATTACAGCAGTGAAAATCTACGTAAACAAGTTTTGTACTAGCCAAAAACTAAAAATCGTTTTAAATTTTAGAAGTATCGATCCATAATTGACTTATATGGGGGTGGGCGTATAGGGGCGCCTTTAACGATTCACTCCAGAGAATCACTTTAACGCTCATGTATGGCTCAAAAGTTCTTCCAAATTACGGTAGTTTTATAGGAACTGAAATTTTTCAACTGAATTTGATGAGGATAACTAATCAAACACCCATTTTCGGTTCCCTTCAGATAAATATTTTAAACCTCATGACTGAATTAAAGATACAAGTACAGCTACATTAGATACAAATAATTATTGTATAAACCGACAAGGATAGGTCCATAATTGACTCTACCCTCCATATAACCACTCTTACAAAAAACAGTTTATGGTTATAAATATTGGATCAAACAAAATTAATGCTTAAGCCCTTATTAAATTCCCTCTACCAAATATGTCCCTGATGTTCATATTAATATCAACATATGATTCAACATAGATCAATAATATCAAAGTTTATTTATAAGGATGATTTGATGGTGGGTATATAAGATTCGGCATGGCCGAATATAACACTCTTACTTGTTACTAAAATGTTTTCATTCCAAAACCAAATTAATTGTTCTAAACTCCTATTTTTATGTAACATTCATGTTACTTGTCCTTAAACCGTTCAGCTTAATCAATAACCTGCTTTGAGGTTGCGAAACTTTCGGGAAACTTTAACATAAGTAATGGCAAACATGTTTTCCATTTCATGCTTTCATACTTTCCAAAAAAATGCAAAAATTTCTACAAATTAAATATTATAGCCATTTTCATGTAGCAAATTACTTATCCTTAATCCTTGTATAATACCAAAAAACGCAAAAGGGGGTAGGAAAACAGATACAGATTCTAGTAGATATTCCTCTGTACTAGAGAGCATAATATGTCATCCCGTTTAAATGCTAATTTCGTGAGGCAAATATAAATGTTTTAGTTAAAAATAAAACTAAAAAAAAATAAAATATGTATGATACGAGTAGCTGCAACAAACATGCCACAAATTTTCGTATTTACCAATTTAGAAGAGTTCTCATTTTCCATGCAGAACGTTCAGCCCAGAGGGCCCAAGCACTAAATGATTTGTTATTGTAGTTAAACGAAAATTAAATAAAATTCTCTAACGAGGCTTTTGGTAATTTTAGACTGGGTGTATAAGTGAGAAAGAAAGAGCAAAAGAGGAGGTTGAGTTAAAATTAAAGGGCGCGTAAGGATATAATAAATTTTGTTAAACTAAAATCATATCCATTTGGTAAAACATCAGGCCAGCCAAATAATGTATTCACAATGAGGATATTTAGCTATATTTAAAAACAAACAGCAAGTGAGCATATGTTTTCTAAAGCTTTGTGCAAGTAAGTATGTTTTCTCTCACATGACACGTTGCTTACACTCGTGCTTAAACATAAATACATACAATATATTTCCTTACCGAGAGACGTGTTTAGTTGTGTGAGTGCAAAAGGATAATGCATTTTGTGGTTGTCAGTATGCTTATGACAGATGGAGTACAAAAACTGGGCAAAAAAAGTATATTGTTATAAATGGGAAACACACAAATAGAAACATCTAAGATTTAACATGTTTTAAACTGTAAATATTACAACTTATATAACACTGCAGTAAAAAGCTACAGGAAGAGAAATAAAGAGAGAGTGTAGAACTTCTAAAAAGCTAGATTTTTAGTAAGATATTTTAAGGCATGTTGCATATTGGTTTCAGATTTTCACCTACTTTGTTATCCAAATAATGTTATATAGACTGATCAATAGTCAAGACTAGACCTATAGACAAGACTACTATCTGATCTCTAGTCAAGACTACAGACTAAATGATCTATAGTCAAAACTAGAGACTGATCTATATTCAGGACTATATTCTGATCAATAGTCATGGCTACAGTTTGATCTATAGTCAAGACTGTTATCCAAATAATGTTATATAGACTGATCAATAGTCAAGACTAGACCTATAGACAAGGCTACTATCTGATCTCTAGTCAAGACTTCAGACTATATGATCTATAGTCAAAACTAGAGACTGATCTATATTCAGGACTATATTCTGATCTATAGTCATGGCAACAGTTTGATCTATAGTCAAGACTGTAGTCTGATCTATAGTCAGACTATAGTCAAGACTATAGTCTGATCTATAGTCAAGACTATAATCTAAAGGCAAGACTATAGTCTGATCCATAGTCAAGACTATAGTCTGATCTATAACTTTACCTATAGTCAAGACCATAGCTTTATCTATAGTCAAGACTATAGTCTGATCAATAGTCAAGACTGTTATAGTCTGATTTATATTCAAGACTATAGTCTGATCTATAGTCAAGACTGTAAACTAATCTATAGTCAAGACTGTAAACTGATCTATAATCAAGACTGTAAAATGATCTATAGTCAAGACTGTAAACTAATCTATAGTCAAGACTATAGACTGATCTATAATCGGGACTATAGACTGACCTATAGTCGAGACTATAGACTGACCTATAGTCGAGAATATAGACCGATCTATAGTTACACTAACCTATACTCAAGACTATAGGCTGATCTATAGTCGAGACTATAGACTGATCTATAGTAGAGACTATAGACTGACCTATAGTCGAGACTATAGACTGATCTATAGTTAGACTGATCATTAGTCAAGTCTACAGACTGATCTACAGTCAAGACTATAGACTGATTTATAGTTAAGACTATAAACTGATATACAGTCAATACTGTAGACTGATATACAGTTAAGACTATAGAAAAGTCTATAGTTTGATCTATAGTCAAATCTATAGACTGATCTGTAGTCAAGACTATAGACTAATCATTAGTCAAGACTACAGACTGATCTGCAGTCAAGACTATAGACTGATCTATAGACAAGACTATAGACTGATCTATAGTCAAGACTATACACTAATCTATAGTCAAGACTATACAGTGATCTATAGTCATGACTATAGACTTATCTATAGTCAAGACTAACTAACTAATCAAGACTATAGACTGATATATAGTCAAGAATATAGCCTGATCTATAGTCAAGACTATTGACTGATCTATAGTTAAGGCTATACACTGATCTATCAGTTATTGACATTCCGAAAACTACAAACAATAAAGATTGAATAAACATATTCCTTAGCATATAAGTAAGGCGCTTATGTTAATACAAGTGTTAAAGATTTGCCAAGTTAGTTATTAGTTAATGGCCCTAAATA